CCATTTAATATGTCTCCCTAGCACTCATCTGATTTGGAAAATGAAAAAGGAAAACTAAAGAATAAATAAGACTACAGAGAAAATAGAAATTGTTTCACAGAATTTTTTTTCTAACATGAATTCTGCTTTGGCCAAAAGAGATATAAACCAACTTCTTTCTGGTTATAATTTTTATTAAAAGTTGGTAAAAATGGAAAGCTGTACATTTAGTGCCCTTATGTGTGCATAAAACAGAGATATATATGCTTATATTTGCATAGGAAAAGTCTGTGTTGATGCCTAAGAGGGTCATATTAACAGAAATTGCTTCCTGGGGAAGAGAGATGGGGATGTGGAAAAGGAAAGAATTCTTACTATGCATTTATTACTTTAATTTAAAAGCAACATAAGCAATTACACACATACACAGAGAGAGAGAGAGGCCAAAGTCACTTGCAAATCAGAGCTAATAGAGGACTAGATTGAGGAAGCAAATGAGCAACAAGAGTAGGATGCCAAAATTGGGGATCCTCCACTCCCACAGTTCTGAGTCCAGGCACCTGGTGTCGTGTCTAAGTTCATTCGGGCAGCTATAACAGGGCACCATAAACTAGAAGGATTATACACAACAGGAATTTGTTACTCACAGTTCTAGAGGCCAGGAAGGCTGAGGTTAAGGCACCAGAAGATTTAGTGTTTGGAGACAGCCTATTTCTGATCATGGACAGTGCTTTCTCCTTATGTCCTTGCATGGTGGAAGGGGTAAAGGAGCCCCCTTAGGCTTGTTTTGTAACACACTAATCACCTCTAAGAAAGCCTCATCTCTCAATACCTTCACTCTGGGGTTTAGCATTTCAACATGTGGATTTGGGGGGATACACTCATTTAAACCATAGCATAGTGGTTCCTAGTCTCGGATCCCAGGAATCAAACCCTGCAAATCCTTATAGTACAACCTTCTTTACATAGGAATCTCTTTTGCTGGCCACCTGAATAGCCCTCTATGGCCTGGATCTGGAGTTAGCCCCAAGGCCCATCTGGTGATGGCTGGGTCCTTGACCCATGGCACTGCTGGGAAGTGGTGAACCTTTAGGAGTTGGAGCCTGGGGAGGGGGGAGTTAAGTAATTAGGGACCACCACCAAAGGGGATATTGGAACCCCAGCCTCATCTCTCTTTCTCTCTGCTTCCTAATCACCATGAGGTGAGCAACTCTGCTTCACTACAAGTCCCTACCGCACCACAGGGCCCAAATCACGGAGCCAAGAACAATGGACAGAAAGCTCTGAAACCATGAGCCACAATAACCCTTTCCTTTTCTCTAATGATTACTTCAGGTATTTTGTCACAGCATCCAAGAGCTGACTAACAGAAGCCAGAAATGAAATCTCTGATCTTAGGGGAAGGAAGGCTGATTTGAAAACAAATATTTACACCAGGCACTTCATCTCCTTTCCCCATTAGCAATGGAAAGGACTTTGATTTGCTTTTTTATCCTGTGTGTTTCACCCTTTCTTGCTGGGCCTCTTGCTTGCCTCCTCTTAGCCTCAGGTCTAACAGAAGCAGGGGCTCATTTCTGTATCCACAGCTAATATGCTCATTCAGCCAGAACTTCATAGTTATTAGCGTGATGGTGTCATTTTGTTTTGTTTGTGGTACTGACTTGAACCGAGGGCCTTTACACTGAGCTACATCCACAGTCCTTTTTTTGAGGCCGGGTCTTGCTAGGTTGCTAAGTGGCCCAGGTTAGGCTCAAACTTGTGATTCGCCTGCCTCAGCCTCCCAGAGTACAGGGATTACAGACATGTGCGACCATGCCTGGCCCAATAAAACTGTATTGACAAAAACAGATGAAGTGTAGGACTTGGACTCTAGTTTGCTAACCTCTGGTATGCTTTATTACAAACACAACATAAATCCCTCATAAAGACAGAGCATGTCAAATTCTTGAGAAAATCAGGTATATTGCCAATGGTTAAATGTAGATTTTGGAGGATTAAAGTAAGCTTTCTTATAACCCCATCCCAGGCAACTTTGGGCACTGAAGTGCTGAAATATATAGCAAGGGTTTTTTTGTTTTGTTTTGTTTTTAACAAGAATGTATTTATACAGATGATTTGGGATGTGTGTTTTGTTTCCAAGTCAAAGATGATGAGTGGATGGTTTATATCAGTTGTTTTACCTGACTAGTCCTAGAACACTTCACTCTTTCCTCTTCTAAACATTCTTCTTCCTCAATGTTCTGTCGTTTTAATATTGTGTTGTTTCACCTGAGTCTCAAGGCTATTTGACATTTCCTCTAATTAGCATCTCTTCCAGAGTTTTGCAGAGTTGTTACCTGTCATTCTGCTATTTTCATAACTTGTTAGAACTTTTAACCTTTGATTGTGTCTAACAAATGCTTGTATAAACTACGTTAGTTTTGTCAACATTTATTAAGCATCAGAGATCATTCCAAGGGATTAGCCTGCCCTGAAATCCTGGAAGGTCGTTGGTTGTCACCCTCCACTTCACCAACAGGGGAACTTTGATGACCACCTTATGTTTCCAGACATTCTACTAAGATTTCTCCAGATCAAAACATCCCACAGTGGACACAAATAAAAGCAAAACTCATGTCTTGACAGCTTCCCTACTTTACACAATCAAATCAGCATTCCCAGGCATGACAGGATCTCAGGCTCACTTTGCCAGTGTCCCTGATATTTACTATGGTGTAAGCAAGACACCAAAGGTAAAAACCATAAAGTAAAGGAGAAAAAAATTGACTACGTAACATTTCTGAATGTGAAGGAAAGAGGGGCTGGGGATGTAGCTCAGGGGTAGAGCGCTTGCCTAGCACAGGCAAGGTCCTGGGCTCAATCCCCAGCATTGCAAATAATAATCATGAATTAAATAAAAATAAACAAAATGAAAACAAGTAGAATAAACTGAGAAAGAAATTGAATATATATGGCCAAAGATTAATGTCTTTAATTATATAAAGATCCTTGAAAAGACAAACAACCAAACAGAAAAAATGGGCAAAAGACTCAGATAACCAATAAAAAAAAATAGCTGACAAACTATTTTTAAGTTACATTAAGGAACTGGAATGTGGCTTAGTGGTAGAGTGCTTGCCTAGCATGTGGCAAGGCCTTGGGTTTGACCCCAAAAATTGCAAGAAAAAAAGTTACATTAAAACAATGAAATGCCATTTTCATTTGTCAAATTAATAAATACTAAAAAATATCTATATTACCAAGTGTTCCTGAGATTCTGGGAAATGAAACCTTCCTATTCTGCTAGTGGGGCCACAAATCAGCCCATTTGTAAAAACAAACAAAACAAAACCACACACAATTTGGTGATGCCTCCTTTTTTTTATGTTGATGCTTTTCTTTCAGTATTACTGGGGGTTGAACCCTATTGGATGCTAGGCAGCACTCTACATTCCTAGTACTGATACCTACTTTTTAAATACTTAGAACTTATCCTAATTCTTGAAGCCATTATTAGGAATTTGTCCTTAGGAAACAATCATGTATGTGCACAGATATGTAAATAAATTAAATTATATTCTGCACTAATTATACTATCAAAATGGACACCAAAGCAATAAAGAATTTGTTAAATTACAGGTTATCCACACAATGAAATAGAATCCAACTCTAAAAAACAAAAATGAGCAAATACTCTATGTCCTGATATGGGAAGAGCTCCAAAATACATGGTTAAGTTCAAAAAGGAACGTGCAGAATAAGATACATAATGTTTATCTTTCATGACCCACCTCCAAAAAGGAATAAAAGGGCTGGGGATTTAGCTCAGTGGTTCTGGCTCCTGCTGCGCAATCGCAAGGTCCTGAGTTCGATCCCCAGTACCAAAAACAAACAAACAAAAAAACCCCAAAAAGGAATAAAAGCAGGAAATATATATATATATATATATATATATATATATATATATATTATTGCATGTGCATAAAGAAGCTCAGAGCTTTGGAAGTGGTGTGGAGTAGGGAGTCAGGGTGAGACAGTAATGTCTCAGTGAGTGTCTTTTCAAATATTTTAAATTCTGAAACATGAAAGCTGGGCATGGTGGCACAACCTGAAGTCCTAACTACTCTGAAGGCAGAAGTAGGAGGGTCACTTGAGCTCCCAAGCCTGAGAGCAGCCCAGCCACAACACAGCAAGATCCCATCTCAGAAAGAGAGAAAAAAAGCATTCTGAAACACGTAAATGTACTGTCTATTCAAAATAATAGAAGTGTATTTATTAATACAGAAAAACATTCATATTAAGTAAAAATTTGTTACAAAATGTAAATACAGCCAAGTGTGGGGGCGCACGCCTGTAATGCCAGCACTCTGGGAGGCTGAGGCGGGAGAATTACTATGAGTCTGAGGCCAACCTGTACAGACTCTGTCTCACAAGAAAAAAGTATGACAATTTATTTTTGCTTTCTGAAAACCTACTTGTATTTCTCTACAATGAACAAATATTACTTATATAAATAGATAGATGGGCTTTTATATCAGACTTCTAAGAAGTTAATTTTTTAACACCCTCTGAGGAAAAAAAAATATGAAACAGCTTTGCTCTACACTAAAAAAGAGGAAACTAAGTAAGAGGAAGCTAAGAGTTTGCAGGAGGTTCCAAATAACCTTGCTGACTGCTGTGGTCTAAGTAAGACCCTTACCATTCACGAGTTGAAACTTAATGGCCAGCCAGGGATTTAGCTCAGTGGTTCCACTGCCTGCCTCGCAAGCGCATTCGATCCAGGTAACAAAAAAAACCCCAAAAACAAACAAAAAAAGAAACTTAATGGCCAATGTGCTACTATTAATAAGTGTGGCCTTAGGGAGTGACTAAAACTGAGGGGAGGGCTCTTTTGGATTGGATTGGGCCCTAAAATATGGGCTTTGAGGGCAAGAATGCATTCTCTTCTGCCCTTCTGCCATGGAAGGATATAGTGTTTGTCCCCTTTTCTTTGCCTTTCTGTCCCTCCCACCATGTGAAGTAATAGTTAAGAAGACCCTCACCAGACTTCAAATGTTGGCACTTTGGTGTTGGACTTTCCAGTCTGTAGAACTGTCAGGCAGGTCGACACATGCCTGTAATCCCAGCTACTTAGGAGGCTGAGGCAGGATTGCAAGTTCAAGGCCAGCCTACACAATTTAGTGGGACCCTGTCTCAGGAAAAAAAAAAAAAAAAAGCAGGAGATGAAGTTCAGTGGTAGAAGACTTGCCTAGCATGTATGAGCTGCTGGGTTCAATTCCCAGCACCCCACCCCACCCCAGTAAATTTCTGGTCTTTGTAAATTACCCATTCTGGGTATTTCTTATAACCACATACAACCTAAGACACTGACCTTCCTCCTCCTTGCAGGAGGCCCCTACCAAATGGAAAGACTGCTCTCATAAAAAGGAAGCAAGTTAGGGCCCTATAGGATGGCAAGGGGCCCCAGTGTGCCTGAATGAAGTTTGCTGGCCCCAGCTACTTCCCCAGAGTTTACTGCTCCCTCCTACAGAGATCAGGAGCACAAGCTATGCTTGTGTAACCCCAGTGATCATTTTCTGAAAAATCACTTAACCCTTTTTAAAAAATTTAATTCACTTTTATTGAGTGTAATTGACAAATAAAATCATATATATTTAAGGTGTACAACATGTTTTGAGATACATATGTATTGTGAAAAGACTTTTCCATCCCCCAATACCCTCTCTTAGTCCCCCCTTATTTCCTTCCATTTCTCTAAGAAGTCTCCCTTCTACTTTCATGTCATCTTTTTTAGATTCCACATATTAAGGAAAATACACAATATTTGTCTTTCTGAGTACAGCTTATTTTACTTTATGTGATGATTGCCAGTTCCATTCATTTTCCTGTAGATGATATAATCCCATTTTTCTTTACTACTGAATAATGCTCCCTTGTGTATATATGCCACATTTTCTTTAGCCATTCATCTATTGATGGGCACCTAGCTGGTTCCATATCTTGGCTATTGTGAATTGTGCTGCAATAAACAGATATACAGGTAGCCCTATAGTGTGCTGACTTTAATTCCTTCTGGTATATACAAGGAGTTGTATAGCTAGATCAAATGGCAGCTCTATTTTTACTGGGATTTTTTTTTTCATTTTTGTTATCTCAAAACAAAATACTCTACACACTAGCTATCATTTTCCCTTCCCTTCCCTCCCCTCCCCTTCCCTCCCCTCCCCTCCCCTCCCTTCCCT